CATGTGTATACCTATGTAACATACCTGCACGCTCTGCACATGTACCCCAGAACTTAAAGCATAATAATAAAAAAAGAAAAAGTAACAGTAAACAAAGGCCACTATTGGTCCCTTTGGAAATTGTTTCTTGACAAGGAAAGGTACATACAGCCTTTCCATAGCTCTTGGTTTGCATACCTTGTGGCTATCACTTTCAACTTGCTGAAAGTTGTTACGTATATGACTTAAGTTTTTCTCTTCTCCAATTTAACCTTCACGATGCTGCCAGTTAGTTTTCTAAATGATGCATCTGTTCATGTCACTTTCCTTCTTAAAAACCTTCAATATCTCCCATGTGGTTGCAGAACAGACACTAAATTCCTTAGCATGTCATAGAAAGACATTAGCAACCTGGCTCTCCAGTCTGTGTCTCTGACCTCATCACCACTTCCTCCCACCCCCTTTCTTGCCTCTCCATTCATGTCCTGAAATGCCACATCTGACTCCTGCCTGCCCCCTTGTCATTCCAAACCACCCCTTGCTCCATGTTCTTGCACAAAGCCAGTCCCTTTGCCTGCACTGTCTTCCTCCTCAATTTCTGCTTCTTCACCTTCTCATGCAAGGCTCAGGATCCCACCTCAATGGACCATCTCTTCATGGACAACTCCCCAAAAGTCTGTTTTTCTCTTCCCTCTCTGAGCTGCTGCAGCTTTAAACACTCAGTAGAGACCGATGACTTCCATGGGTATTTACCAGCCTAGATGTCTTCCAGGCATCTTTCCTGACTCTTCCATCTACCTGCGAACCTCCTCAACATCTCCCCTTGGATATTCAATAGGCACTTCAAATTACAATTTCTAAAATATACCCTTCCCTCCCAACCTGTCCTCTCGTCTTTCCAGTCTCAGTAAACATCCCCTGGCTTGCTGCCCTGCCTGGCTGACCTGAATGCTTTTTGGGAACAAGCCGTTCACACACCTGTCTCAGGGCATGTGCACCTGCTGGCCCCTCACCTCCTCACCTGAAAAGTCCCTCCTCCACAGCCACTGGCCACTCCTTCAACTTCTTCAGTTTGTTGCTCAACCATCACCTCTCAGTGAGGCTTTCTCTGAAATTCCGACCTAAAATGGCAATCTGCAGTTCCCCCATCACCACCCCATTCCACACACTTTCCCTTTTCGCATTTTTCCCCTAGAATATTTATCACCCACTTATACACTGTATATTTTTACATCCTTTCTGTATCCATTCCCCTGACTAGAATGTGAACTGAATAATGTCAGGAACTAGGTCACTTTTGTTCGTCTCTGAAACCTAAGGGCCTAAGAAACTAAAATATTAATAGTTCCCAAGACACAGGTGGTTCAATGAATATATGTTGAATGAAGTAGGTATTAATTTTGCCATTAAAATGGAAGTCACTGGCTGGACACAGTGGCTCACACCTATAATCCCAATGCTTTGGGAGGCCTAGGTAGAAGGATTTCTTGAGGCCAAGAGTTTGAGACCAGTCTGAGCAACACAGCAAGACCCTGTCCCTACCAAAAAAACTTTAAAAAAATTAGCTGGGCATGGTGGTGTGCACCCATAGTCCATCCTAGCTCTTTGGAAGACTGAGGTGGGAGGATCACTTGAGCAGGAGTTCGAGGCTGTAGTGACCTATGATCGCACCACTGCACTCCAGTCTGGGTGACAGAACGAGACCCTGCCAAAAAAAAAAAGAAAGAAAGAAAGAAAAGAAAAAGAAAAAAAAGATCACTGAGGCAAGGAGAAACTGAGTTATTAGTTTTGACCAGCTTGAAAAAGGAGTGAAAGCTGCTGGTTAATGGTTTGGTTTGGATCTGGGCTGTAATTTACACATACTGGATCTGTGACCCCAGACATATGGCAAGTTCTTCTCCTTTGGTTTCCTTGTGTGTGAAGTGGGAGAAATGAAATACTTATCTGGAAGGTTGGGTGGCATGTATGTGTAAAGTACCCACAAGAGCCCTGGCACATGTTAAGTGTTCAATCCATGTCAGCTGCTACTATTACTAGAAATAGCTCCCAGGACTCTCATGCTCAGACCACCTCCATTAACACTGCCCCACCTATATCTATTGTTCTACTATTAAGGACCATGAATTGAGCACTGTGTTAGACACTGGGAATTAACATTCAAATAAGACATGTCCCTTGTCTCAGAGAGTAGACATTAGACAATGGAGAAGACCAACAAGTAAAGTGATGAACTGAAAATATTTAAAATACAATAAAAAGCAATGATGAATGGCATTCACTGGCCTCTTGTTACTAACGTCAAAATAATCTGCTTCCTTTGAAAACTCATTTCAATTTTGGGTTTAAGTTATAAATAAAATGAGTAGTAAAATAAAGGTATCCTCATTACCTAAACAATTGTCAGAGTTTCTATTTAAATAGAAGACATTTTTTTTTTCCCCTGAGTAGTTTTACTTTGGGCTCCAAGTCACTGCTTCATTAAACATTATGAGCCATTGAACATATCCTGACATGATTCCCCTTACAATAAATTATAAACCTGGTAGCTGTCCAAAAAGACCTGTCTTCAGTAGATGAAGCTTAGATGGAGACAGATGTCAGTAAGTATAAGTAAAATGGAAAACAGAAATATTTTTGTGGTTTCATTTCAACTATCACGGGGTCATGGTTTCTGAGTGAATCTTGTTAGAGGTTTTTAAATGACATCAGGCTCTTGTTTTCCCAATTTTCAGACTTGCAACATGAAATTGTTATTTCTCTTATTTGCATATTTACTACTACTTAAATGAATTCCACAGAACTTAGGATGGTTGTGATAAATTAAACATGTTCCCAACTTGTTTGCTGCTCTTCCTGTTATGCAAGCCTGTTTCCTCACCCCTTGAATGGGGCTGGCGGTGTGACTTGCCTTGACCTATAGCAGGATGGGAAGAGCATGACATTTGTAACTTCAGAGGCCTGCTGCCTCTGCCCTCCCCATCTTGGACTGGCAAGACTGTCATAAGAAACTCAACTGTTTTGCTGGATTGGCCACGTAGAGGAGAATGTAAACACCCTCAGAGAGTCCTGCCAGCCACCCTAGTTGTGAATGAAACCATCCTGGGCCATCTGGCTCTGGTTGAACCTCCAGGTAACTGTGGTCACAGGAGTGACCCCAGGCCCGACCAGCAGAAGACTACTTAGCTGAGACTACCCCAAACTGAAGAAATGTGAGCAAATGGCTACTGCTTTAAGTCACTACATTTTGGTGTGGTTTGTTTTATAGCAATAGATAATAAGAGCCTTGGTACTTGATTAGATGTAGGGGCCAGGGAATGAAGAGCTAGCAATTAGAATTTCTGGCTTCAATAATTTGGTAAAACATTGGAATATGACACACAGAGGCATCAGTGGATCAGACGGAGGAAGATGATGCAGCTGTCTTTCAGGTGTATTTGGAATATCTATGTGAAAATAAATGCTACACTAAATATAATATATAAATATTATATATATAAATATAAATACGTCCTTTTATTATAAAATTGACTTTGTATCAAGTTTGTCCAAAGTTATATGAACAGAGAAGGAGCAAAAAACATATACACGCTGCAGAGATAAGGCAAGAATTGGAACGCTGTTTTTCCTGCAGTGTGAGAAGGCTCTGGTCACCACAAAGGGGGCTGAGGGGACAGTAACGGGAGGAAGAGAATCAACAGATGAGTAGAAGCTAGAACTATGTGATGCATGGGGCTGACTTCACCTCCTGCAGACAGTGTTTGATGGATAGGTAGAAATGAGGTTGACGGACAATTTTAAAATCAGATTCGTTTTTTAAAAGAATGTCTTACTTTCTTCTAATCCACCACAGCTCTCAGCTCTCATAAACTCTGTCCTTGTGAAGCCAAATATAGCTTCTGGCTATGTTTGTACATAAATGTAAGATGTGGATTTTTTGTGTGTTTAAGTGCACAGTACATATGTGTGTAGTGTGGGTGCACGTTATTAAAAAAAAGACTTTAGCTGATTGAATTCAACCAATATTTGACTGACTTCAGGGGTGAAATCCTTTCATTTATTTGTTCAAAGTCACACGCCTTATGAAAAGTATATGAGGGTTGATGGGGCTTAGGACAGTCTACCCTAACATACAGCATCTTGGCATCTGAGAAAATAGCAGAAGCAGGAAGTCACTCTCTGACCTTCTTCTGCCCTCTTCCCCTGAAGCAGGCTGTAAAACCTAGAAAAGACATCCTAACCTTCCTTGAAGATGGTCATAAGACCCTCACATGAGAAATGTCCACCCTATACCTTGCAGTATCTAGGAATACCGGGAATATCCCTATCTTTGAAGACACAGGGACACAGAGAAGAATCTGAACAAACAGGCCTTGCTAAGTTCTCCCAAGTTTATTACTATTAGAGTATGCTTTTTTTTTGTCCTCTAACCATACTTCTCCATGTGTATCTTCATCAGATCTAAACATAAAAATACCTGGGTTTACCTGCTTCTTTGAATCTCCCCTTCTGAAGGTTCCCATGTCATATAAAATTTATACGAAGTAAATGTGTATGCTTTTCTCCTGTTAATTTTTGTTATGGGAACCTTAGCCATGAATCTAACAATGGGAAAGATAGTTCTTTCCCCTCTGAGACTTAGAGAACACAGACAAAGAGTTAGGAAGACTAGTATATGAAAACATCAGGAAAAAATACCAGGGGATGATGAGATTAAGCTAAGAGAATCATTCAAAAAGTACCATTGATACATGTATTTAATAGCTAAATTTAACCTTCACCCTCACCTCAGTGCATGTTTATAAAAACACCCTCCAACAGTGTGAAAGCATTCCAATTTCTCCACAGCCTCACCAGCATTTATTGTTTCCTGACTTTTTAATAATCACCCTTTTAACTGGCATGAGATAGTGTCTCATTATGGTTTTGATTTGCATTTCACTAATGACCAGTGATGATGAGCTTTTTTTCATATGTTTGTTGGCCACATAAATGTCTTCTTTTGAACACATGGACACAGGGAGCGGAACATCACACACTCAGGCCTATCAGAGGGTGAGGGGCAAGGGGAGGAGAGCATTAGGACAAATACCCAATGCATACAGGGCTTAAGACCCAGATGATGGGTTGATAGGTACAGCAAACCACCATGGCACATGTATACCTATGTAACAAACCTGCACGTTCTGCACATGTATCACAGAACTTGAAAAAAAAACAAAAATTCTCAATGTCAATTTCCTTGGTAGTCAGTGGTACTCAGAGCAATCTAGAACATGTTGTCAAAATTTCAGATTTCCAGCTTTGAAAATCAGTAAACAATTTTCAAAGGAAAAATAAACAATTTTTCAGAGGAAAAATAAACAATTTTTCTTCCAAATTTTAGGCAAAGAACTTCATGGTATTATTTTGAAGCAATTTCCAGTTGTTGTATTAAAAGACAATAGTTTTCTCAACTTCAGTTTTTAACTGTAAAATTCTTGGACTAGAGTATATCCTATTCCGTTGTATTATTTCTGCCTCAACAGGAAGTGGAAGGTTGTATGACAGGAAGTGGAAGGTTGTATGACAGGAAGTGACCTCGCAAGAGACACCCAAATATCTCACAGCAGGCTAACTCTTCTCTACTACACTATTCCATCATGCTCCACCCTTTTGGAATATATTCCTTCTGTATCGCTCTTCTGACTCCAAAGCTAGCACATGTATTCCATTAATGCCCAGAGAGAGATGAGACCCCATACAAACACACATCTCCCTGGACACCTCTCCTGTGCAAAGCATCTCATGTTCGTGTCTTAAGCACTAGGACCAAGAACAAAGTCAACTGGCCTCCAGATGTGAAAGGCCCACCAGCCAGCAGAGTGCAAGAACAATCCAAATGTATCAATATCTTTAGAAAACATAGATTGCTAAAGAAAATAGACACTAAGCCTTTTGATATCATTTTCATTATTTTCCCTGAGATGACTGGGACATGCCCCATTTTTCTAGTTTAGTTTTTAAAACTAGCAAAACATTAAAAAAAAAAATCCTCCAGCATGTGAGTGAGGCTATCTGAGCATATAATACAATGCTGAGCTCTTCAGAATAATATAATGTCCCAGCCTTATTAGCATTATAGCTGAGTTAGCCAGTTCCAAGAGTGGGTGGGAAACCTCAGTATTCACCATCTTCATTCAGTGTGGGCTCGAAAATATTCTGTGTACAATGGGAGTTTCTTACCTGAAAATGAATGTGATTTAGCTCACCTGACTAAAGTTTCAACAGCTATGCATTGTTACGGTGAAAGATTGCTGCAGTTGGCTTTGATTGGTACTGTTTTGGAAAAGAAATACTTTTGGATTTTTTTTCTTTTATAAAAAGGGCGATACAAGTGTAAGTCCTGAGCTCCTATTAATAGCCCCAGCAAGCGCAGCAGCAAAACCCAGTGCATGCCCGTTTTCAAGTGCTTCTGAAATGACAGGAGCTTTCAAACAGAACTGGGCAATGCATTTTTCCAATGCCAATGCATGCTGGTGCTGCTGTGGCCTGTCAAATACATAATATTGAAAAGCCCAACTGGGCACCTATTTGCTACAATGTTCTTGGCTGTTCTCCACCCATCATGTCCCAAGATAGAATCTGCTCAGAACAGCAAGTCTATTCTTAGGTGCTTCCTGTAGTGAGCATTAACAAAACGATTGGAATCTATGGAAACAGGTAGGGACGATGTAAGGGGAGGCAGGTGCAAAAATCTTCCAGGAGCAACCTCAGAAGAGATATTGCATGCACTATGCTTTAGCGGTGACCAAGGCTTCTACCTCAAAAACAAACCTTAAGTGAAAGTTGTCTTTTCTAGGACCATGCACAGATGGGAATAGATACAGGACTCTCTGAAACATACCTGCTATTTACACAGTACTTTTCTAAGTGAACAGAGTACACTCTACAAGCTCTCTTGAGAGAGCAGAAAAAGTGCTCAAATCCTTAATTTTAAGTTTCTGCTCCCAATGCACAAGATCTGCGAAAAGAAAGTCATGGGTCTGTATAGACTGGGCTTTTGTCCCTCTCTCATTTCATTCCTCATGTTCAATCATCTATTTGACATGTTTCTAATACCAAACTGACCGCATCCATCTACTCAGGACAGTCACACTTTCCTAGGGAGGGACTGTTTTCTGACTGCCCTGAAATTAATGCATTCCATTCCCCCATTTGTACATGTTTCCTGGACTCCCAAACCCTCCCTGAGCCTGGCTCTGGGATAATAATCCCCATTTGGTTGACTGGGACCATCTGCTAACCCTGCCATTAAACTCCACTACTGACTGCAAGCTAGGGCTCTCCCGGCAGGGCATTGGTGCCCAAGTGCTGAGCAACGTACCTTCTCTCAAATCCCCTACAGAGTTGCATCCTACAGTTACAGATGTCTTCAGAGCAAGAAATGAAGGGCATGGGGTTATCAGGAATGAGGACCAGGTGAGAGAAGGAACCAAAAGCTTATTACCAAAATGCAGATCCAAGGTACCATTAGAAAAAATTTAGTCACGTTGATGTTTCACTGAAAACCTGCCATAGTGGAGAAATTGTGAACTCAAATCCCATATTCGTTTTTAAAGTTGTTCTCTTAATTTTTGCTGCTAATAAAACAAATAGACAAATTAAAGAAGCTTCATTCATAGGTAATTATTTCTGTTTTTGTTGTGGTGTTGTTATTTTTGTCATTCTCATTCCCAGGTTGTTACTATAAGGAAGAAACAAAAGTAGTCAATCATATTTTTTGCCAATGGTTTCTGGGTGGTTTTTATTTTTTAATTGCCCATATGTGTTCTGAAAGATCAGCTTACTTCAGTTGTTGACTCTCTGAGATCTAATCAGACATCTTAACAGATAACTTTGTAATTCATAAGTATTGTCTCCTAGGCAGGATGTCTTACGAAGAGTTTTCTGGGTAATGTATTCCTTCAAACAAATTAAAACAACACGGAGAGCAGCGTAACATGACAAACAATGCCATCCCAACTCTGGAAAACACTGCTGTACCCTAGGTCAACCCACAGTGCCCTGTCTAAGCAGCCAAGAACCAGTGATGCAAACATGCGAGAAGAAAGTGGTTATAATTTGAGGTTGAGGAGCAGAGGATGTTGCAAAAACAAGCGAGGTCAAAGCTAAGAGTCAGGGCTTTAGTTTTGAACTATGTGCTTAGGACTTTGCTGAATGGCATTTGAAACATCTGAACACCCCTAAATGGGGTTAGTTGTGTGTTTTTGTTTTTTGTTTTTTTCTGAATTTAAATGATTGGTGGCAACCATCCCAACATTATCACACTTTCTATGACTGAAGATGGATTTAGTGGTGAGTTTTAAGTTCCATTATTAGCTCAGATTTTCTCTGGAAAATTTATTTTGTCAAAACAGATCATTGCAAAGTGGCTTTCCTCACTACTCATGGTGATAAAGGGCAATAATTGCATTGTAAAAGTTATTTGGTCATTTTACTACAATGTGGGATGAAAATTCTTCTAATAAATATGCCCTAATGACTACTGGTTTTAAGTATATTTAGGCACATCATTGTAATTATTTATACTTTAGTGTAATATATTAGCGAAATAATATGCATGAAGAAAATATCGATATTAAGTCACATGTACACTTACTTAGCCAGAGTTCGTTTGGGGGATAAAAAAGTCCCTTAAATGAACCAATAACAATAAACTGTTTTAAAATACTTCTGCAGTAGCAGTAATTCTATACAAATATAAATGTGTTATGTAAGTATATTCTCACGTTTTCAGCAAGACTGAACTTTCATGCAAAACTAAATTAAGAGTAGAGAATCGATTTCTATGATTACCCAATGGAATATTTTAAGTGGATTTCAAGTTGCAGCCATTTTTATAGGCAAATTCTTTACAAGTTACTTAGTTATATTTTATTATATATAAGAAAACAAAACATTACCAACACAATGCTGCCAGTGCAATGCCAGAAAGGTACATTGTACTGGCATCGGTGGTTATGGAACTCACATTAGCAAGGTCAGCGATTTATCTTGGAAGAATTTCAGAAGCAAAAACTTGAGATGGAGTTTCAAACCCAGGCTATAAAGCAAAATCTGTAGCACTGTATATTTATTTGAGAGTCTTTAGGTTTAACATCTGATAATACATCCTGAAATAAACCCTTCATTCCCACACCAGTGTCCCCATGTATTACGCATGTGAAGAAGGTTATCATTTATTTTAAGGAAGTATTAAAGTAGAGGTGAAGGTAAATGATGTATCAAGTTTTAAATTACATTGTTATTATATTATTATTATTTGGTTATTGGTTGTGGCTTTAACTACACCTTGTTTTTTAGCTAATAATAATAAACTATTTGTCCTCAAAGAGGCTGCTTTAAGTAAGGGATGGCAGGGAGGATTCAAATCCTGGTTCTATTGGTCTGGCTTATAGGCTTTGGGGCAGCTTCTTTCCTTTCTATACTGCCGGATCCTTAAATGACATATCTGCCTGCAATAATGAATAATATCTCCCTCATGGGACTTTGGTGAAGATTAAAGGTGTTAATATTTATGAAGCACTTTAGTTACATGTGCACATAGGGAAAGTGGAGTAGTCGATACTAACTGCTGTTATTCAGAGGGGAATATAATAACATGAGCGTGGGTTTACTTCTCCTTGCCCTTCAGACTTGAATCTTACAGGCAGTGAAGCTGGGGATCGGGTTGTCATTAATTTATTTTCCACAGTGTCTGCAGAAGGATTCCTGACTGATGAAGGGAGTGACCAGAGAACATCATAGCACGTCCATGTATCCCCAAGGAAATCCTCCTTGTGGTTTCAGCTGCTAAATTACTTTAGCGTAGCTGCTTTTCTGATGTGTTTGTGTTATTGTAAATTGTATAATAATGTAAATTTATCAGCATCTTTCGGAGCGAGGAAGATTTTTCTCCAGGTGGCACATTGTCAAGGACAAAGGAAGAAAAGAACGAATTGAACCAAAATCAACCCTCAAGAGGCAGTGATCAAATAACATACTGCAGATGGTCAGCAAAAGAAACGGGGCAGCAACTTATACCTCTAGCCAAAAATACTGCTTCATTTATTGTTTGTTGTTTTTATTCATCACTTTTATTTGATTCAAAATTAATGAATCCATATTGGGGAAAGAAAAGCTTGACAGTGGCCTGTTTTGAGAAAAACATTCAAAACGATTTCAGGATTTCAAATTTGGCTCATCATTTTAAAAGAATAAATAATAAAAGCAGGAAAAAAATTGCCTCTCATTTAAAACTTATCGGCTACATGAAACATCTGCAGTTGCAGCAGATAGACAGTAGCAGAGGCAAGTGCTGAACACTATTTGGCAACACAGGAAATGGACACAGGCAATGTGCTCCGAGTACCCTATTTATGCATCAAGCAAATCAGCATCATCTATAATGTGGGGATAGAAACGATTTGACTTTTGCTTTGAAAGAAGACACATGCAGAAGTACTGGGGTAATACTTCAGTCACACTGATCTCCACGAGGCTGGCATTAGAGATGTTAACCTCAGGTTACATTGATTTTATAATAAAGTTTTCTCTTTCTGACTCTGAGCAGGATATTCAGTCTATTTTCTCCCCACAAAATCGGTAAATCAAAAGTATGATAACTCTTTTCCTGTTCTAACATAACCACCTTTTTGGAGCAAATGCAAATGCCCTATATTTCAAATGAATACATGCTATGGAATAGGAAGACTTTTGAAAAATTTAAATAATGGAAAATTTCCAATATCCACAAATGTAGAGACATAATGAATTCCATCACCCAGTTTCAATAATCGTCAACATATGGCAATCTTATTTCATATAAGTTCCCACCTACTTTTCTCCATCTTGGGTTGTTTTGAAGTAAATCCCAGATATCTCATCATTTTGTCTGCATACTCATCAGTATATGTTGCTAAAAGACACTTAAAAGAATGTATAATCACTACACCAGTATCCCAACTTAAAAAAAAATAAGAAAAATTCTCAATGCACACTTATAACATGTATCTGATTATATAATAAATGTTATAATCAGTTATTCACTGGAATTCTTCAAAAAGGATAACATTTCCTTCTTCGATTTCTTGGTACAGCCTGAGGTACAACTTGCAAAGGAAAAGCAGAAAAAAAAAGCGTGATTCTTTTATTTAAGTTTTCGGAATGTTGACTTGTGCTCTGCCCCTAGCATTCTCTAAAAGTTACCAATTTCCTTGTATTATTATTATAAATCCATGAAATTTTAACACACTTAATGCATTCCAATTAACTGTGAATATTGTTTCTGATTTTCAAAATGTGCCACTGGTCACTAGCGAAAGTCCTTTCAAGTTGGCATGACCTCAGCAGTCTCTGGCTTCTTAGGTGTCTGGTGCAACAAGATACTCTACACTCATCCTGAACATTTCCTGCCCCAGACCTGGAGTCTGGCATTTCTCCAAGAAGAACTATTTCCCTTAAGTGGTAAATTACTGTTAAAAAGCTACATGCGAATGCCTGAAGTAAGTGCTCATTGCTATTAGGTGGGTTGCCTGTTATGCATGAAAGTTTTGCTTTCTGTAGCTAGGGATGGAGGTAATAGTCACATCATGGACAAAAATAACTGACCATTGATAGCGCCCTCCACATTGAGTAAAAGTGTGGAAAGGCTTCAGGGTACAATCATTACTGTCCTTTGAAAAAATTCTTAAGTAAAAATAAAATTTGGATTCGCAACATCTAGAATCAAATTTAATATGTTACATGAAGAAGCATAAGAGATGATATATTTTATATTAAATTAAATAAGGTATATAAAAGATTCAAGCAATGTCTGATTGAGAACAGATGCTTAATAGGTGGTTACTTCCTTTTCTTTTTCTTTTCCCCACCTAAGAAAAATGTAGTGAAGCCATACATAAACCAATAGTTGAGCTTACTTTAATTCAAAACTAAATTCCCTATTTCATCTTCATCTTTTAATTTTATCTCAAAATATTTTTTCTCTCAAATGAATATAAACATTCTTACAGAAGATGCTTTGTAATGAAATTAAAATACCTCTATATGCATCTCCAGAGCCTGATAGCAAAATAAACACTTATTAATAGCCTCTAGTTTATGACTACCTAACTTGATAATAACTAAATAAGTATAGTAATGAAATATTTCTCAGATGCTTACCAGATGTCAGGTATATATCTACAGATAGCCACTTGCCCACTATTAATGGAACTTTTTGCTCAATTATCTCCTTTTGTTCATAAGTCTTTGAGACAGTGGGGGAAATCTCTGGTATCTTCATTTTGAATTTTCTCTGCATCCTTTGGAGCCTCTTCCAACTATGCATAATTTGGGGGAGCTGTCCAGATGCTGGAGCCACACCCAGTCTCCACTTTGACTCATGGTTGGTTGAGGTAGTTGGTGGATCCATTTGGGATTAGAGGGCATACAGAGGTTAATAACTCCAACAGGTGGAGAGCTCAGGGAACATTTAGTCAACCTGATTAAATGACCAAGAAACAGAAGACAAAAGGATAATGTGTTGTAACATCTTTACTGAATAAAATGGCATTTAGGCAATGGAGATATCTGGAGGGAAAATAACACTTCTAAGAATGTAAGCAACGTTAAAATATTTGATCCAGTTTTGGATAAAGTTAATCCAATTAAACAAACAAAATGAGATTTAGGTATACTTAGCTAAATGTTATGTATTTTAAAGACTTCATTTGAATCATTGAACTTCATCAGCACATGGCTAGGAGGCAGACCAAGTGCGAATCTGTGGAGTAAATCCCTCAGGCTGTGCTCCATAGGTGTGTGGCTGGGCATCTGTAGACTCAGAGATTTTTCTGAGTTAGAACTAAAATGGAAAGGTTGCTAAATAATTGTGTTTGGATCCAATTGTTTACATTTACTGTCTGTAATTTGGAACCAGAATCCCCATAGCGTAGCTTAATATGTATTTTAAAATGTAAAATGCAAGCACATATGGCTAATTACTGGTTAATTTTTTAGCTTTGGACTAACATTTCTCTGCCACACCATGGAGGCAATGGTAAAGATTTTTCTGTTTTTGAGGAAACAATCTTAATGGCTATATATAGATCATAAATGGTTGGCAAAAGATGCATTTGAATCTAAACCAAAATTAAAATGTTTTAAATTATCTAACTGCTGCCAGATATTCAAACGGGGAAGATTTGTACTAGAAAGTGTTCACAGTTTCCATACACATTCACGCTCACTCCACTCTACCCTCCCTCCTCTACTGTTCTCTCTCCCCTTGCGCTCTCCCTCTTCCTTTCTCTTGTTCTTGCTCACATGAAAGAAATGCATACAGATTATCACAACACTAATGGCATATAAGAATAGTGACAGAACTGATCACTGAATTCTTCGGTTATGAACAGATCATCAACTGGAATCTTCCTTAATTTCCACCTTAAATAAGACAGCGTATATTAGAACAGCCAATATCACTTGCAATATAATTCCTCTTCCTCTATTCATCTGTTTGATGTAGATATCCTCAGGCCAGCTATGTTTTCATCCCATACCAACTGTCTGAGTGCTCTCAGTCAGACTCATGGATTTCACTGACATCCATATAGTGATGACTCCTGAATCTCTATTTTTAGCCTCTGCATTTTTCTTACCTAACAGAAGTGCACATTCAACTGTCTGCTGGCTATCTGCATGTGATGATCCACAGCCTTTAAAGCTCCAAAATGTTATAGTAAATTTATCAACACCATCCTTCCCCAAATTGTTTTCTTTTTAAATTCTCTCATTCAAAGAATGGCACCACTATCTTCCAACCACCTGAGTAAAAAACTTAAAGTTGTATTTTTTTTCTTATTCTCCTTCATTCTTTGCATTCAGTTGGCTACCAAGTCTTATAAATTCAACCTCCTTAACACTGCTGGAATCTATTTCCTCAGTTTCCTCCATTATGTTACTGCTTTAGTACAGCGTTCATCAGTGCTCTCTCAGATCATTGCAACAGAGTCCTAAATTATCTCTGTCTCTCTCTGCCTTTTTTCTCAATGCCCCCATGAACCTCTCTGCTTCTGCTAGAGTTATCTTTCTAAAATAGTTACCTTTCAAAATTTATAAAATACAAATCTTTCCGTTGCGCCCCCACTGTCAGGGCCCTGTGAAAATTGTACTGCTCTTCGTCTCCACTCCAGACTCAGCGTCCATGGTTCACTCATGCAACCTAAACTTGCAGCTCCTAGAACATGGCTTGTTCTCTTATCATCAGTTTCTCTGAACAGACTGTTCCCTCTACAAGAATGCCCACTCTCTCCTTATCAGCCTAACATGTACTTGAACTTAGAGATTCAGATAAACATTGAGGCTCTGATAAAATAATATTTCCCTTAAGAAGCCTTCCTTCTCCCACTTCTATGAGTTAGAAACCCTGCCTCTGTATTCCCATAGCCTGCTTACAGACCTCTACGACATCACATGAAAGGTAGGAACTGCATTGCTTGTTCTACCTCCCCTATTAAACTGTGGGGGGTGGAGTCTGTGTCTTTGATACTGCATTCCCCATATCTAAAACACTAGTTCTCAAAATTTTTGCTCTCAAGTTCTCCTTACTCTGTTAAAATTATTAAGTATACCAAAGGACTTTTGTTTATGGGGACATATATCTATACCATATTAAAATTTAAAATTGAGAATAATAAACAATTTTAAAATAAAAAACCAACTACAAAGTTTTAAAATTTACGTATTTTTGTTGAAAACTGGCTATATTTTCTAACTCAAACATTTATTGATAGGAGTGGTATTGCCTTATAACTTTGTAAATCACATTAACGTCTGGCTTAATCAAAGATGGCTAGATTCTTGTGTCTTTGTCCAAGTTCAAAGATACGTTGTTTTTTTTGATACAAAGGAAGAAAATCCAGCTTCATACAGATATATAGTTAGCAAGAGAGGAGTATTTCAGTAGTCTTTTCAGATAATTGTGGATATTTTACTTTGAAAATACACCCAAACTCAAAAGTAGTAGTTTCTTAAATATGTGACGCAAAGTGGAACCTGAAACCATTTCTGTAAAGTTTTCACACTAAGTTATATTAAAGCCTGTTATATTTTGAATGAATCTTTTACTATGCATGATTCGTAACATTATGCACTTTTAAGGCATTTGTTCACTGAGTTATACAGATCATCCAAATTTGGTCGCTTTCATTATATCTAATACAAAAAAGCCACATTAATTAATCTCACCATCAATCTCACCAGAAAACTCTGTAACTATTATGAAGTTGTCCAGCTCATTGTGGTGGACACAGTTTTTCCAAAATTCAAATTTTGCTTGAAAGCTCAAAATTTTACCATTGAGAACAAGTAATGTCAACTGTTTTCCTTGTAGTGACAGCTCACTTGATTCATTTTTGAGAAAATGTCTGCAAAATATCCAAGTCTGAATAACCAGAGTTCATCTGTTAGTCCTTTCAAGTACAAACGATGCTTCCTGAAAGAAGTATGTAGTTCAGCTTGCATCTAAAACAAGGCCACTGTGATTTTTTTCCTTCATAACAACCATTATGCTTCAGTATGAAACAGACATTTATGTGTACGTCACACTGTGCACACAGAATATTAAAAAGATGTTCACTCAGGGATGAAGATTTAACAAAATTATTATTATTATTTTTACTGCTTCATCCCAACATTTTAAAGTAAAACCTGTGTGAGCAAGGGGTAGTAAATAATATAATGGCTAATACAGTTTTGTGCCCTTGCCTTGGTTTGTACTTAGGCACCAGCAGTTTTACTTACAATTGCTTTTACACCAGCAATGCAAATGTCAACACAGTGAGTTCTTATGAGTATTAGTGTTATAATAAAGTTCATGTCATTCTCAGTGTTCTCATCTCACGCACTCCCTGAAAGGGTCTGGAAAACACACAGCTTGGCAACACACTACACTTAGAGGACTGCTGATCAAGGCAATGCCTAAAACACAATGGGCACTCAAGACATTTTGAATGAAGCATTGAATGAATGAATCCACATTGGTTTCATCTGTTGTAATAATAAAAGTGCTTGTGATGATTCAAAGGGCGTGCATGTGAGTGTGTGTGTGTGCGCACAATGGAGACTGACAAAAAGGTTTAGTAGATCCTTGAGTCAAAGTTAGAATGAAACACAGAGACCTTGTGATAAAAATTCCATTCTGGTTTAAGAATATATTAATGTTATTCCATTAACTCCACCACCTTCAGCTACATGAGAAGATGATAACGTTTTTGCTGATTTTATAGAGACTTGTCAGTTAATGTTATTGTGAATATTTTGAAGAGCAATTTATTCATATAATACTTAACTGAACTACCATTGTGAACTTACAAAATATAGGGCAAACAAAGATTCAAATATTTGAAAGACTCACTTGACCAAACTAAGCAAGAATATTGATGGATGGACATGGTGTCTTCTAGACGATTCCTCTCCTAATCACCATACCTACATTACTTCCTTTATCAGAGAGTTGGTTACAGAATAGGCATGTTTTCATCTTATACAGAGCAGGTATTTTTGCCAGAACTCTTAAGGTCTCATTCTGTTATATCCCAATCTCATTCAAATGGGATATAACCCTGAAAACTGATGTTAAATTCAGCTTCTGTCAGTGGGGTTGTTGTGAAGTATGTGTTTGTTAAGAGTGAAGCATATTTGCTCCACTTCCAGAAAACTCTTAACAACAATGGGGAAAAAGGTAGTTAACTCTACAATCCTAGCAATATTGTGTGAAAAGGAGTAGGTTATGTAAATTACCTTGATTGGGGTGTCCCATCTTTAAGAAAAGTATTTATTTTCTAGTAGTCTTACAGCACGACAAGTGTAATCTTGGAAAAGCTCAACAAGGAAACTTTAAGGGCAGCAAGAATTTCAGAAAAAAAAAATAGTGAGTAAGGATAGTTGGTGTCTTGTGCTCAAGGTGTCCTTGTCCCAGGACTGTCAAATTGTGCAGGTACAAGCTAAACAGATGTGGGGTGAGTAACCATCCACTCCAGGGAACACGTGTGGGAAGGTATCCATCAGTGGAGCAGGTTTGCAAATACATGATACATGAGACTCGCCACTGGCCTTAATGAAGCATGGACCATTCAGTGCTGAAAGCGAATGGTGAGGTCTTTTTTTCCCTCTCTGCCTTCTGTGATGCTTCTCTCATGTTCTCTTTAAAAAAGTCATTTTGACCCTTGCTGATCTGTGGAGGCAGAATGCCCAATTAAATTACTTTCATTATAAAAGCACATACAGCCAAATACTTTTTATAGCAAACGATTTCAAATTCATAATAAGCATCAAGGAAAAGTAGCACAAAAGCTTTTTAAAATTACAGAGAGACTTTTAAACAATTGGTGCTACCAAAAAAGGTCAGAGAGAGTGCCTCACTGTGGAAGGTTCAATTGGCCAAGAAATTATGAAACTGACATTTAAAAATAATAATACATTTTAATATTCATTCTTTTGGGGTCAGGTGCAGGCTACTTAGAATAACAATTCTGTCCAAATAGAAAATGAAAACCTTCCAGGAAGAATTACCTTCAAAGCAGGCTGTATCTGTCCATTTAAGAACTGCATTGAAACATGATAGTAACTTACATTTCCTGGGTACGGACTATGTGTCAAGTACATTGTTAGTGCTTTATTTCGATTTTTTAAATTTGATCCTCACAATAACTCTATGGGATAGATACTATTATTATCACTATCATACACATGAGAAAATTGTGGCTTAGACCTTAAATAAGTTTTGGAGACAGTGAGTGGTAGACCCAGTAACCAAACTAAAAGTTACTAAATCTAGAAGCTAGTTCTATTGTTAATGGTAGCTTTCCAGAACATCTATGATTTTCAATTGTATAATTATTAATTTAGACAAAGAGTATTCAATAAGCACTGCTATCAGGTACTGCTAGATGCTGGGATTGTAATAATGAAATTGTTCTTATTTATTCAAAAACACACAGTCTCATCAACACACCATTTCTTGGAGCTGGTTCAGTAAGACATTTATTGTCGTGTCTAATTTCACAGAAGAAAAGCTAAGCCAGGGGTTAAGGATTTTACATTCAGCAGAAAACAGAATTATTACTCACTGATTTCAGTCAAGTGTTCTGTACACTAGATATCACCATGCATCTTATAGAGAATCAGACAAGTAATTGCTGAAGCCATTAAAGTTAGTTCTGAGCCCCACAAAACCTGATACAACCACCCGATAACCTCTTTACGTACAGGATCTACTTTAATACGTTATGCTTCAACCCAGCCACGAGGCAAAGGAAAATCAGACTTTTTCAAAGGTAAATCAGGATTAGTCACAATGCAAGAAAATATAGGGGGGAAAAAACCCTAAATGATCAATAAATGGAATCTAGTTTTGTCATACATGGCACATTAACTTCATAAAATATTTTTCATCTACTATTATTTTATTCAAAAGTTCGGTACACATAAGAATATTATTTTAATGCATACACAAAACCTACGCTGACTCATAATGCACCAAAATTACATGTTAATATAACAGCATCTAGACACAAAAGAATTAGAATAGCACATGATCTAGAACGTGCTAGAACAGGGGTCAATACACTTTTCAGGAAAGGGCCTTAGCGGTTCCAAAGGCATTGTTGGAACTACTCAACTCTGCTATTGTAGTTCACAAGCAGTCATAGACAACATGTAAATGAACGTGCATGGCTGTGTTCCAATACAAATTCTCTTATGAAAACAGGGAGTGGGCCAGATTTTACCCGAGGGTTGTGATTTTCTGATCTCTGTGCTATAATATACAGGTATGGGCCAGTTTAAAGACATTTACACTGGTGTTTTTAGTAATATTTTATAATATTGTTTAATAAATTTTAAGAAAAGTCTGTACATCTGCATAATCAAGTTATACATTTGCTCACTTGAATTCAAGCCATTGGTCATTATTTTGACCCAGTCTAAATTATTTTTACCCAAAGATACCCAAGAAGGTAGCTTTACCTTTTTGAAATAGTTTGCAAATTCCAGACCAGACGTCAGGGCAAAGAGTCTTTGTATTTAGCCAGACAGCAAAGCTTTCATTACTGTTGGTTCAACAATCCAAAATCCATGACCTGACCACCAATCAATCAACTAGCATTTACAGATTGATGACAAAGTATTTTGCCCTGTTCTAAGCACGCTTGTCAGACAGTCTCCCTCCTGTCAAGCAGTTTAAAATCTAATAAATGAGACAATAATGTTATCTTTATTTATTCAGTGAGACATTTTGGCATAGAAACATCAGGCATGTCCAGTAACCAGAAACAAAAAAAAATATATCATGTGACATAGGGTGGAATTACTCTAGTAGATAAAAATACCTTTTCATCCATTTTCAGTAGAAATATATTCAATTTTAGTTTGTATATGTAGGCTGTTTACCTGATCTGTTTACTCACTGATAATATAGTA